GTTTTTAGTACAACAATGGCCACCAGTGGGCTCTACATGGACAAACTTTATCAGTTTATTATTTTACTTAGTACCCCTACACATAGCCCATTCTAAAATGGCCAAACTCTAACACTCAGTAGTTTATTCTAACCTCCCCAACAACCCCGCACCATTCCAAACCCTTTGTGAAGTGCCTTGAGACGACATAAAACTGAATTGAATTAATATCTAATTAATTTAAACTTGCAGAGTGATCTCATTCCTATCTAATATAAATCACATAACACTGAGAAGAAACTCCTCTTTCTGTTACTAGTTTTTATATAATCTCTTCTTTTGCCCCACAGGTAATCCTGAAAGGCAAAAACAAAAACTCAAATAGACTTATTAAAATACTCATTATTGTCAACCCACTAATGGCAAGCTTAATAAATGGCAACAGTTGTCACACTATGTTGTTTTGCAGGTATATGTGCTGCAAATAGCACATGAACTTTAACAAGTGATAGAAATAGGTTACATTAAATATTATCTCTCCACATTCAGACACATTTAGCAAATCTGCAGTGTCAAGTCGCTTTTTTTTTCATTTTGCTACTTTGAGAAACCTTTGAAATAACAAAATGCTGCCAAATTTAGTTAAAACATTTTTCTATTCTCTTTACTGTTATTTCAAAAAAGAAATCTAATAAATACTGAATTATAAATGCTGACTAAGCAGCCTTATCTAAACTCTGCAGAACTTACCCAGAAAGATACAAGCTTTAAAAGAATTCATGATCAACCATTAGTGTAAAATCAAGAGCGTTTGCAACAAGCTGCAGGAGATGGTGTCAATCTCATCTGTTGACTGCACACTGAGAGAACAAAAGGGACAAAGAGAAGTCAGGGAAACAGGAGTTTTGTCTCATATTGATTGTTTGTGAACTTGATTATCTTCAAGCATGGACACTTGAAGTTACTTTATTTTACATTACCAGTGGTAGGATACCTGATAAAAAGCCTCTATTTCATTTTGCAAACAAATGTATTCCCTTCATTTTTGTTTGTCCTCATGCAGTCTAATTGCTTTAAAAATGTGTCAATGATAACATCTTGTTTTATTTTCTGAACAAATTGTTCAGGCTGAAATTAAATCCTGATTTGGGAGGTTGTGGAAATAAGCTGAAAAAAATGCAGGTGTTACCACAGCAAGCATTGTTCTGTTGACAAAGCTCTCACTACAAGCAGATTGTATTCACTTTAAACAATACTTCTCTCATTGCTGAGTTATCAGTATGATATGAATATTTCATTTCTGGTTTCCAACTTCCCTCCTTACTGAACTTTTCCAATCATACAGACAGAGCCACATTCACGCAATCGCACTCATACGTAGGCAACTTGAGGTTAAGACATATGGCAGGAGGGAACTGGAATTGAACCCACAACCTTATGTTTGCAAGACAACTACTCTTCCTATTGAGCCACAGTCGCCTCTTTAGTATTTATTGTCAAAGAAGTTTGATATGTTTCCACCAGGAATAATGCACTTCTTCCTTTTGGTGTTGATATTGGCTGGAAGACAATTAAAGTGAATGCATTTACTAAGGCTGTCTATGCCAAATAATCGTCTTGTATATTTTGACCTTCTTCTCATCATTTTCTGACCTGGATTGCCAGTTTGACCAAGAGCTCAGTGAAAAAGTATGAGTTGTGAAATCCAGCCTGCAGAGCTAAGTGAAATCATTCAGCTCTGCCGGTTACTCAGAATGGTCAGATTAATGTGAAACATGTGAAGCAATTAGTTAAGTGTGAGGGCAACTTATGTGACTAGCAGGAAATAAATCTGTTGTCGCTGAAAGAGATGAAGAGCAACTCCTTTTGCTCCAACTCAGGTCTGCTGCACTGGAAGACGTTCTTTGTTTAGTTCCTTTTAGTTAAAATATTTCCCTGTGTTTGATGATTTCACATCCTCTGCTTCATGCCTTTCAGTAGCTGGATTTCATATGTGATGCTTTAAGTTAGTCTCTTTCAGCATAATGGTTAAATCTACGTTAAGATGAATATGTCACACGAAGCTGTGTCACAAGACAAAGATAATGAGTTTAACAGATTTGTATGTGTTGCTCAACATAAAATCCTATGACACAAAGCTCAGGTCTCTGCTCATTAGTTATAGTTGATACAAAAAGTTAACAACTGCTCACTTTCAGACGTGCTACAGTACAGAGAGGGATGTAAATACATGTCAAAGAAACCCACGTATGAGAGAGGAAGTGCTGAGAGAAACCTCCAAGTCACTGCTTAACTGTTTTATCCTAAATAATTTTAGCAAGCTCTAAATTCTGCCCTTCTCCTTTTATATGTAGGATCACTTCTGTTGGTAATGAGCTCCACACTTCTCCGCTAGCAGAGGCCCACTGAGTCCAACACACTTGAACTGGATCTGAACCAGGGAGTGATGTTTTGCTCTGCTGTCTTTGTTGGAGCCAGTCTTCCTAACCCTCAAAGTCTAAAGGGAAGCTCTAACGGGTTTTCAGGTCATCTGAGAGCTGCAGCGTTGCTGCAGACAGCTCAACTTTAATGAGAGCACAACAGTCATAAATCAAATGATCTCAGTAGAGATGTAGATGATATGCTAAAGGTCTGCTCTGATGAGAACCACTGGGATGGAGTCCCCAGAAATAGACAGAAGAACTCTTTATTCAGGACACAGACCAACAGCAGAGCAAAGCAGAAATTAGAACTCCAAGAACCATTAGCAGCAAAGTCTATGCACCTTAAGATAAAGTCTTAGTATTTTATACTTTTTCAATTTGTTTTGTTGTTTATTACAAGTTGGCCCTCCCACATTTGATGCAACCCATTCTAACTCCAGCTTGTCACATACAGGGGTTGGACAATGAAACTGAAACACCTGGTTTTAGACCACAATAATTTATTAGTATGGTGTAGGGCCTCCTTTTGCGGCCAATACAGCGTCAATTCGTCTTGGGAATGACATATAC